AAAGAGAGAGAGAGTGAGAGAGAGACGAAGGAAGAAGGAAGGAATGGAAGAAGGAAGGAAAAAAGGAGGACGAAGGAAGGAGAGAAAGGTAGGAGGAGGAGGAAAAAGAGAGAAAGAAAGAGGAGAGAGAGGAGAGGAACGAAGGGAGAGGAGAGAGGGGAGAGGAGAGAGGGGAGAGGAGAGAGGGAAGAGGAAAGAAGGAAGAGGAGAGATGGGAGAGGAAGGCAGGAAGAGGAGAGAGGGGAGAGGAAGGAAGGAAGAGGAGAGAGGAGAGGAAGGAAGGAAGAGGAGAAAGATGAGAGGAGAGAGGGGAGGGGAAGGAAGGCAGAGGAGAGAGGAGAGGAAAGAAGAAAGAGGAGAGAGAGGAAGGAAGGAAGAGGAGAGAAAGGAAGTAAAAAGGAAGGAAGAGGAGAGATAGGAAGGAAGGAGGAAGGAGGAGAGAGAGAAAGAGATAGAGGGGGGGGGAAGAAGAAAAGAAGGAGGAGAGTAAGAGAGACAGTCGTGTAATCAGAAAATCCTCTGTACACGAATATTCCTATTTTAGACTTGGTCCTATCGGAGATGGACGTACAATTCAGAGGTCGAGCCTCTTAGAAACCTTACCAATTGTCCCTCACTGTGTGTGGGTCTGCACACACAGGTGGGGGTTGCCTGGTTTCAGATGTAAATCATAGTGAGGAAAATGGCAGCAAAAATTCGGTGACTTCCAGAGCATTCGAATCCTTGGAGACTACAGAATTGCATTTTCTTCCCTTTATGCAAAGCTTTTCAGTAAAATTCACTCAGAAATATGTTTTTAAATGGACATAAAAGGTGTTGAGCCAAGAAAGAGAATTTTAAAAAAATGTCCAACTGTCAGAAAATGCCCGTTTCTTCAATTTCGTAATTTGGGCGAGCGCCTGATTTTTCCACGATCCTTCACAAAGATAGTCAGTCTTATACACATGTGTGCAAGCCAGCCATGCCCAATATTTTCGCACATGTAATAGTATCGCTGCCATTGTCAAAACTACTGAAATAACATGAAGAAAGAACAAGTTTTATCTGCTACACAATGTTGTAACTATTATTGCAATAGCACATCGTGTGTCTCATGCAAAAATCATAATTCTGTTTTTAATTCGATAAAATAATGCAGGCCCTAAGTCTTTGGAACAACAAAATCAACAACAATTCTAACTCACGTAGACAGTATTTTGACTGGGGAAAGTTGCACAAGCTAAGGCCTTAAAAAGGGCAAGTTCAGAGTAACAAGCATCAGTGTAATTATGAACATAATATCTGATTCAGACAGAAGGCGACGCAGAAGAATGTTATAAAGCAAAATAAGTAGAAGTTACACATAGATGAGTCCTGTTATGAAGGTTTATTTTCTGAACTTTTGGAGACAGATACACATTCAATTTTGATTGTGAAACTCTGATTTTTATTTTATTTTTGGAGGATTTAGTTCCTGTTTTTTCTTTTGATTTTTTTTTTCTTTTCTTTTTTTGGGGGGCGGTGTCTTTTTAACAGCTTGAAACTCGCAAAATGACGATTTACCCTAATGTATGAACCTAATATGTCCCAAGGGAATGCTAACTATATGAGGATCGAAATTAAAAAAAAATAATGATTGCAGACTAACAACATTAGCATTGAATTTTAAAATTTAAATAAGGCTGAAAATTGTTCGACTAAAAACATTGTGCAACAAAATGCTTTAAAAAATCGAGAAACACAAAACTCTATAGACTGAATCAAACTTAAAAGATAAAACAGAATTAAAGCCTTTCAAGAAGACGAGAAGTGGACACAGCGTTTTCAGATTTCGACCCCACGTCGTAACTTTTAGTCAACCGAACCTGTCAATTCTGTCAAATGTTTCATCCGTGTAGTTCACTTCTCTTTGTTTGTCTTTATCCTTCTGATGAGTTGGACGCAATATTAGATAAGGATGAAAAATGTCGACGATTCCGTGTGATAATTGTGCACATTAAAGATCCCTTGGTGGTCCTGAAATCGACAAGATAAGGTTTCCGTCGCCACTGGCAAAAAGTTCAAAAGGAGTTCCTATCAAAACAGAAATTTAATTCTCAAAATCACACAGCGTACCCTAGAAATCGGAATATGGATGTCTCAACGCAAGGGGCCCTACTAAGAATGGGAAAACGGTAGCATACATATAAAAATAAGATGCAGTGCAGGATGAAGAACCATCAGTCGACGACTACCCCTGGGATCTAGCAGGAAGATACTGACGCTATAACAGTTCAAACGAAATTTGAATACAGCGGAATTCTGCTATAACTAACGATAGGGAGGTGTCCCGTGCGAAAAATCCGTTATAGAAGAATTCACGTTATAAGGGATCCAGTAATAAATCCAAGGGTAATAACAAATTAGGCCTAATCTATGAGTTTGGTATTCTTTTTATTTCTTTTTTACAGCACTGTGACCTCTCCATCCCCGCTTCGGAGAAGCTCATTCGCTCTGGTGTTCATTGTCGTTAGATCATCAACAAGTTTCTCAACTGGCTAGGTTTTACATGTATTGGCCTATGCTCTGAGAACAGCAGCAGCAATATTTCGACTCGCGTGTTTGATTGCGCTATAGGAATATTTCATTTACAAATATTAAGAAGAAAAAAACAACAACGAGGTTTCAGAAGAGTGTCTTTACAACAGACTCCTCGTTATTTCAGGACTCGTTAAAAGTGGACTCCACTGTAATACTGTTCAGAAAATATATCATTTGGATAGGAGCAGTTTTCGAATTACAATTCAAAGTCGTTGAAGTTTTGAAGAAAACCATTACATTTTATGTCTGAAATAGCTGAAACGTGTTGGTTAATCCTTCCCTGCCCGCCCCCTGAAATAAAACGAAAACCAAGCGATCCACGCAAGTGCGAGCAACATTAACGAAAACAGACACAGAACATGATACTGAAGGACATTTCTAGGAATTTAGCTTCTTGCAATTTAGATCTAAAGCTCAGGAAATTAATGAATGACATGTATGTTTACTGTGGCGTTCTCTAACTCTAACACGGCAGGATTTTTTATATTAAGTTATTGCTCAGTAAGCATCTCCCATAAGCCATTTGTTTGCACAAAAATTCGCTTCTTCTGTTTTTCACTTTGTTGTAGTTCATAGTTTCGAAATGTTGCATACCCATGTCGTTGTGTTTCTTAAAAAGCTTTCCGACTCTTTCTTTTGTATTGGAATCACCTGTAGTAACATAACTCGATACGAACATTATGGTTGGCCTTGCCATCCGGGTGGATCTGGTTTTCATACCGGTCTCCATTACTATCGTCCTCTGTGTCAAAGTACATATACTGCTCTGATACTGTCATCCCTAAAACCCTTTGACATGTCCCTTTGTAACGGTACAAGTAGAAAGGATCCTCCGTGGGTAGAGAGATTGCGACTCCAGTTGGTGAGTCTGATCTGCAGCAGTAGGAAATACGATAATAACTGCCAGATTCAACAATCTCTGGAACAGTTCCTCTTGTTTGGGTAGCTCTAGAGCTGTCTTCGTCATCGAACTGGATGTACCCAGAAGAAAAATCATCGGGGCATGACCTAGAGGCGTGTTTGTTTATACAGTAGGTACCTCGGGGCCAATCCGACCAGATTCCGATATTTTCCCTTACACAGAAATGTTGGTTCATGAATAAGCTTGAGTTGGAGCTTTCAAAGATGGGCTGGGCAAGGTTATTTGGAGTCGACACACTATTGAAATTGGAGCTATTTGACGACTCTGTGTGCATTTTAAATTGGCCTGTTCGCCAAAAGTCAATGCCATTGTTCGGGCAACCTGTATTTGGAGAAAGAAGTCCGTAAAGCCCTTTTGGCCACGTCCCATTTTGCAACTCCTCCAGTCGCGAGACCCGATTTTCCAAGTCAAGGATGACACTCTCGAGTCGATTTATTGTGTTGGTACAGTTGTCTCTCTGCTCAGTGATCTCATGCTGGAGTTCGGCCTGCTCTCTCAGCAGGAGATGCAAAACTTGCGTTGCGTTGACTGTGTCTTCTACCATGAGTTGGCTAGAAGTAGCTCGAACGACGGCTATAGAATTAGAATCGAAACCCATAACTTCGCACTTATATCTGCCTAACGTATTCATCTCTGCTGTAGGCCAGGATATTTCCAGAAAACTGTCCCATTCTGATCCGACATGACCGCTGACCTTCAGACCGGTATTGGAAGTTGGGACGTCGGGAGATGTGTCTCGAACTTCTGCAACCAACTCCCAGTGACTCCCGGCGTCATTTTTTAGGATCCGGATCCTGGAGATTTGGGAAAAGTCATAGTACCCAGAAGCATATTTACAGGTCAAGGCCACATCAGTCGTGACGTCCAATACGACGTGCGGGTGCGAGGTCGTCAGGTACCATCGTGCGTCACTTCCGCCAATCACAGCCAGGAGGAGAACTAGCGTTATCTGCAATGACAACAAAACACAAAGTTAGGATTCAATCAAGTTCTCCGTTATTTATGCACAACTACAGGCAACAACATTAATAGAACAAAAATAACTTTGCTGTGCATTTCACTATGGGGGTAAAACAAATTCAACAAAGATGGTTTTGGTGCAATTAGAACCAGAAAACCTTCCTCTATAACATACTGAAAATCGGCGTAAATCAGAAATGAGGAAATGTTTTTAAAATGCCGTTTAACGGTATAGTATCGAAGTGGTCAAATATCAATATCAAACTATTTCAGAATTGCATGCCACATCTCACAGCACACCAATTTTACACCACTGCTCGGGACTCTGTTCCTTAAAACTTATGTTAAAGTCGTTATGTACACCAAAGAGTCTACACAACAAGAGGGTCCACTCCTCTCTTTGAGTGAATTAAAAAAGTGTCCTCAAAATGCGGTAGCGCCCTCTTCGCAAATGCGCACCTTTTGCGAACAGAGTTACCCTACACGTGTTCAAAAAAATCAAAGTGAAACTAACAAGTTTTGAATAAAAAAGAATTCAAATTTCGGAAGAACGCTTTTTAAAAAATAGCTACCCTGACAAAAAACGAAGGGCCGGCTGTTTTCTTCGTTTAATTTGACTTTAGAATGAAAGGCGAGAGGTCATTAAAATAAAAAAACCCCCCTAAAACTCCGCACTGAACGAACCCGAACAGCTAATGAACAGCAGTCGATCTGCGCAAGCAAGGAGGGCTCTTCCTATTCTTCTTCTGGAGAAACGAAAGAGAGCTTCAAAACAGACTGCAGCGCCCTCTGAAGCAAAGAGCGGACTTCCGGCGGACTTTTTTGTTGGCTGAGTGGACCATCTTGTTGTGTACTATCTTTGTGTACACTGAGTAATCAGTAATGGTAACGACGAGAAGTAACTATTTACAAAGAGATACAATTAACCTGAGATGAGAGAGAAAGCGAGGGGGGGGGTGGGAAGAAGGAAGAAGAAGAAGAAGGGAGGAGGAAGAAGGAGGAGAAAGAAAAAGGAGGAAGGAGAAGGAGAAGGAAGAAGCAAAAGACAATAATACACTGGAGATCAAAATAATAAGGGGATTAACTTTCATTACTAGACCAGATGATGTCCGAATTCATTGTTTTGGTGTAACTCCACAAAAATGTATGGCATATTTGTTACATAAAGTAAGCCCTGAGAAGCCATGGGATTTTTTTTTTAAAACATTTTTTGGGGGGGATATATTTTGCAGAGGTCAAGAACAATAATAAAATTATACTTGTGACTCCACAAGAAAAGCACTCGCTTCTCGTTGGGGAAGTTTCTGAGATGTATTCGAATGAAGTTAATGAGGAACCATCTACAAGAAATCAGACTTATGCCTGACAAATTACCCCCAGTGGGTCGGGGGGATATAAATAGACCCACTGCTTCGTCTGCAGAAGGTGCAACCCCTTCAAAGGCGAGGTGTCGCACTC